TTAGTTTAAAGCATGTGGTGTTAGGAGAACAATAAGAAAAATATTTTAACCAAGGCTCATGGTAGAGAAATGCATGAGCTTGTGTTGCACAAGTTAGGAACCTTTAACATTTTTTGATCCAACTTAAAAAGGGAGTGTTGAAAGTTGAATATTGGGCCAGTGTTATGTAGGCCGTGCTGACATTCTCAGTGTTTTGGGCCGAGTTTGTAAGCTTGTCTTTCTTAGTATTTCTTTTGACTTGGCAATGCAGCCTGGATACATGCTGACATTCTGCACGCCCGTGTGCGGCATTTTTTCAACATAATGAATTATTCAGTTTTGTTCTGCTTTCCAACATCTTCCATTGTGTCACAAACCGTCTCTTGGAAATTGGTACGTCCTCGAACTTTCCAGAGAAAACTCGGACCAATATAACCAAATCCTCCCCTTAGAACGTTCCAGACACACACCACTTCTATAAATCCCCTTTCGAGTCCTTTCTTATTTCGTTCACTGCTTCATCACCTTCTCTCAAGCGTAACTTTTGTCGATCTGTGTTCAGCTTCATTGATATTTTTCTTGGACTATGCCAAGCCGATCAACCGGAACCATAACCCAAGACTGGGAACCGGTGGTTCTACACAAGAACAAGCCTAAGGCCCAGAATCTGCGCAACCCAAAGGCCGTGAATCAGGCACTCCGATCAGGAGCAGAGGTCCAGACGATCAAGAAGTTTGACGCCGGATCGAATAAGAAAAACGCTCCGGTTGTCAACACGAGGAAGCTGGATGAAGAAACCGAGCCGGCGGCTCTGGAGAAGGTACGCGCAGAGGTGAGAACAGCCATACAGAAGGCTAGGCTGGAGAAGAAGATGAGCCAAGTGGATCTTGCGAAGCAGATTAACGAGCGGCCACAGGTGGTGCAGGAGTACGAGAACGGGAAAGCGGTGCCGAATCAGGCCGTGCTGGCGAAGATGGAGAGAGTTCTAGGCGTGAAACTCAGAGGAAAGATCAGCGGCAAGTGAGGATTGAAGGACTCGAAGATTGCCATGCCACCATTTAGCCATGTTCAGTTGATGTGGACGGTAAAAAGATGTAAAATGAAAATTAGCGTGATCAACGGCCTGTGAAATTAAACATGTAATATGTAGAAAGAGATTCTGTGTGACTGTTTTGATTTACTTGTAATGAAACCTTTTGATGGAGGTATATTTTGTGAATTGTATGAGTGTGATTGAGTTCATCAGTGAATGATTTTGATACGACTGTTAATCTTTAAACAAATGCAGTATTCTGGAAACGGATCCACTCATCTGAAGGTGCTGGATGGAGACAAAACTCAGATCATGACAAAGATTTCGTGAAACGAGCAGAGGATTCTAGAAACTCATTCAAGCTCGAGACAATTCAAGTTGGCGAACATCATTTACTGATAGCATCCAGATGAAAAAATATATGCAGTGATGTAAATATTTTCAAGAACAAGAACCTGCACTCAAAATATTTCTCTTGCGCCCTGTTCTCCACAGGCCATTCTTGCGCCATTCTACACCTTGGATTTCATCGCTCCTGTTGCTTGTGTTTATCAATTTCAAATATTGGTTTTGTTCAAGAAGTTAAATTATTTTTAATATAGTTTTTAAAATTATTTTTAAAAAAAATAAAATAAAAATTTATTTGATTAAAAAATGATTAATAGTAATAATTATAAATAATTAATAATAGTAATTAATAATAAAAATTGATCAAGTTAATTATAATTTTTAATAATTAAATATAATTTATTTTAAAAATAAAATAAAATCAAAACAACTTAAATTTATTTTTATTTTTTTGATTTTGAAAATAAAAAATAAAAATAATTTTAGAAACACTAAATAAAAAATACTTATTTAAATAAATTTTTTTATTTTTTTATTTTTAAAAATAAAAAACAATTTTTTGAAAGAGAAACACAAACAGGTCCTTGCATTTTAGATTAATTTTTATAACAGGATGATAAGTTTTTAGAAAAAATAATTAGCTCAAAAGCCTGATACACTTGGTTAAATTTTGGAAATTAATTGTTCGAATGCAGTATACTCATTTTTAAAAAATGGGATAAACCTAGGAGGCGAGAAAGAGAGGGAGGCACAGGAGAGTCATTGTTCATGAAAAAAATTATCTATGAGTTTTGTAGAGCTGATTTATTTATAAATAAATTTTATAAAATTTAAAAGTCACAAGTAAATCACTTGAGACTTGAATATAATTTAAAATTTGAATAAAAAAATAATAATGTTCTTATTAAAAAAACACATACACACACTACATCATTTAAATAATTTATAATTACATCATTAATAATTTACAATTATAATTTAAATTTTTTTATAGTTGTAACTTCATATATTTAATAATTAAATTAATAATTATATCATTAATAATTTACAATTATAATTTAAATTTTTTATAGTTATAACTTCATATATTCAATAATTAAATTGATTAATTTAATTATTGAATATGTGAAGTTATAGTTGTAAAAAGTTAAAATTATAGTTATAAGTTATTGATGAAGTAATTATAAATAATTAATGTTAAACTTTGTTAGTAACTCATGATTATTTAATTATTTTATATGTGAAGTTATAGTTATAAAAAGTTAAATTATAATTATAAATTACTAATAAAGTAGTTATAAATTAATTATTTAATTGACATAATATGTGTTTAATAAGGGTATTATTATCTTTGCATTTTAATTACACTTAAATCTTAAAGGACTTGACTGTAGTTTTTATATTTTGTAAAATTTATTTATAAATAAATTTGCTTCACAGGATTTATATATAATTTTTCTTTGTTCATGCATACACAACATCTTTTCACTTGATTATATTGCTTGCATGTACTATTACTTAGAGCCCAATAATTCAAATGAATTGGGTTTATTTGGGCTGGTTTTAAAATACTCGAGTTTATAAAAAAAATTTATATAGTTAAATTCGACTATAACCTCTCAAACTTTTGAACTTGTTTGGTTTGATCCAAATACTTGAAATTTTTTAAAATTATCTTTTATCTTTTCTAAAATAATTTTAATTTTTAATTTAAAAATTAAAATTGTCAAACAAATACACTCTAAAATTAAAATTAATATGCGGGCTGGAGATGTGTCTTATGTAAATGCTTCATTCTAACTTTGAAAGAATTGGACGAGCTGCGAAAGAAGTGGAATAAGACCTTTACCAAGCGTTAAGATTTTTTAGGCTTATTTAAATTAATCAAAATTATTGGTTCTTAGTATATAAGATCAAATGGATTAATTTTCCATTTATGTGAATATTGAAAAATATGGAATGTCATAGTTATATAAACACCAAGAAAAATAGGAATTTGGCCAAAGTCATAATATATCCATAATAAATGTAGGACATGCATGCATTGATTAATAAATTTAAGGACACACATGTATTCATGAATTAATTGAATACATGAATGTGAGATAGAATTAAAGTCAATATTTCTTGATAAGTTTAAGTCATGAAGGCTATATGTGTGTGTGTAAATAGAGGGCTGTTGGGATCTCCCTTCATTCCCCACCAAGTTCGTGTGGTTCTCATTATTTCACAAATATTCATAGCTTTATTTCAGCGAGAAGAGAGAAGGTTGAGGTAATATTCTAACTTCTAGCCTTCTTCTGAGTTCTGACACTTTCGTGCATTTGATTATGTAGAAAAACAAATCAAACATGCCTCAATATCTGATTTATTTTGTTTCTTAAATAGATGTGTTAAGGCTATGTTTAGACTTAGTGGGATTTAGATTTCAATTTGAAATTGAATTTGAGATAAATGCTATTTGGATCCATGCATACAAATTTAAGGATTTAGATTTTGATCTAAATCTAATTAAATCCATATTTATTATAATTTTTTTATAACATTAAATTTATGATACACTCTAGTTATCTGAAAAATGTCACCAACTTTTCTATAATTTTCCGTCTTCATCGTTATATATTGGTATTTTCATCACTTTCATGTATGCTCTTATTTATCATTCTTGTCTTTCACAAGGTAAGCCCATCGTTTCTGATCTGTTCTTGTTTCAAATTTTAGTTTGTCACTCTCAATCTCAACTTGTTTCTTTATGCTATCTTAAGTTTTTTTTAAGTACATAAATTTTAATGATTGTATATAATAATCAAATTCAAATGTTATGCCTTGTAACTTGTCAATTAGGTTGAGTATTAACAGATTCAACCCTTTTTAAATAAGATATTAATTTCAAATTTTATAAATAAAGAATCATACTAAAACATAGCTTTTCCTCATATACCAACCTAATATCAAGTCGGATTAATTATTAACAAGACATAGTTAGGGTTAGGCTTGTAACTTATAAGATTGTGACTTAAATTTCGCTATTGATGTGAGGATTTTGTTGATAAATAATTTATAAATATTTTTATAAACACTCTTCAAGCCTAAAAATATGCCTTGGATGGCCTTGGTAAGTTCCCTAGAGTCAACTTTGCTAAACTTTTCTTCAAAAAAAAAAGATAAATAATTTATTTCTCAATTTATGTGTGTCATCCTTGCACAGTGACAATGCCAATTTTTTCTATGTCGATCCATTTTTGTCAAATATTCCCAAAGGCACATAGTTTATTAGTGGTAGATCTTTGCCCTGACTTGGGTGAAACTAGTCTAGACTACTAATAATTTCTCTAATTAAAGTGAGGTAAGTCCAAGATACCATATGCTTTATGGAAAAAACATACAAGATAGTTCATTAGGGAAAAAATGTAATATCCTCTTTCACGAAGAGGAAATAAAAGAATTGAGTAAGGATTTCATGGATACATTCTTTGTATTGGCCATAAATTGGTGCTCCAAAGTGGCACCAAAAAAGGAAAAAGAAACATCACATGAAACCAAGAATGCATATTACACACCAATTCATTATAGTTGTTAAAAGCATGATCTTCTTCTCTCTCTTTGTATATATATACTCTTTTTTACTTCAACTTTCTGATTTTTGCCCTCATAACGTAACGTGACAGGTAATTTAGCAGCTACAGAAATGGCAAGTTTATCTGATATTGATGTCCATTCTCATCCCTTCTCCAACATTCCAACCATAAAGTTCACCAAACTTTTCATCAATGGACAATTCGTTGATTCCATTTCAGGTTCTAACTTTTCCTTTTCTGTTTTTTTTTTTTTTTCTCTGTCTCTAAAATTCCTTTCCCCCGTTAACTCTGTCTTCTTCTCATAAGGAATACAGTTTACTTTTGCAATAAATAAATATTTTGTAAATTTGTAAGAAGTTTATATGAGATTTACATCTAGTTTTGTTCTTATCATAATCATAGATATTTTTATTTTCAAAACTTAACATTAATATATTTAAATGTTGATAGAGTGCAATAATATAATATTATTCACATAGCTGATCCTGCTTAGATTTGTTGTTGTTTTGTAAAAAATTACATAATTTTAAGGACTGAAAATGTTAATATAATTCTTTAATATTTCATATTTTTTGACTCAAAAAGAGCGCGTAGTTCTGTGCTGTAATTGCCACTTATGATCTTATCCAAGTCAACTTGTAGTGGAAACTTAAGACTTAAAACTGAAGGCAATGAATTAAACTTAATGACTGCTGCTACAATTAAAATTTGCTAAGCACAATGTTGGATTGTATATGAATAGAAATTAGGGGTTCAAATCTACTTATAGATCAAAATAAAATGCTAAGGACAAATATGATATAGGTAATTATTTTTTTGCCAACCTTATAGATAATTATTAAATTTACTACCTCTCTCTGCATGATATATGGAATTCGAAAATACAGTCATATTATTCATATTTTTTTATAAATTTTATTAAATATATTTTTATTATATAGAATTATAAAAGTAATAAATTTTTTACATAGATTTCAGGTAAATTTTTTATTTTATATATATATATATATATACACATACATTAAATATTTAATGCTGATAATTGCGCTGTCTGGATGTTTCTTTTTTAAAAATGTAAATAGGAAAGACATTTGAGACTGTGGACCCAAGAACAGAGGAAGTGATCACCGAAATAGCAGAGGGGACTGAAGAAGACGTTGATCTCGCCGCGAAGGCGGCACGTGAGGCTTTCGATTCTGGTCCATGGCCACGCATGACCGGCTCTGTACGTTTATGTCTTCGCCTTCTTTTTCTTCTTTTGATACTTAACAATTAGCAATCCAAATGGATATATAGTTCGAAGCCGTTATTGAAGTAGCAGTTTAGTAACTAGCAAGTACCATGTTAAATGTTCGATGAAATACCAAGCAGGAGAGAGCGAAGATAATGATGAGATGGGCCGATCTAATTGAAGAGAACGTAGAGGAGATAGCTGCGTTGGACACCATTGATGGGGGTAAGCTATACACGACATGTAAGGCGGTAGACATTCCCCATGTAGCTAGTCTTCTTCGTTACTATGCGGGTGCTGCGGATAAGATTCATGGAGAGGTGTTGAAATCGTCAAGGAATCTTCACGCTTATACTTTAATGGAACCTATTGGTGTTGTTGGCCATATCATCCCCTGGAATTTCCCTACCCACATGTTCTTCGCCAAAGTTAGCCCTGCCTTGGCTGCTGGCTGCACCATGGTCCTTAAACCTGCTGAGCAAACTCCTCTCACTGCTCTCTTTTATGCCCACCTTTCCAAGCTGGTATGGTTCAATTTAAGCTCACTTGACTGATCAGAGACAATAAATTAGACCGAATATGAAAACGGAACAACCTACTTGATGAACACTGAACAGCATATTTAGATTGATTCAATTTCTTTAAGACAATTGGGTTTTTCTTTTTGAAGGCTGGAATCCCAGACGGGGTGCTCAATGTGATAACTGGGTTTGGCCGGACTGCAGGGGCTGCAATAAGCTCTCACATGAACATTGATGCGGTAATTTGCATGCATGTGATGTACTTTGGAGTTTCATAGCATTGGTTTTATTTTATTATATTTTTTTTATTTTTTGCATGAGACTACCATGTCTGATAAAGAGATCTGGAATATGTACTTGAAGGTGAGTTTTACCGGTTCAACAGAAACTGGTCGTCAAGTAATGCAGGCAGCAGCCATGAGTAATTTGAAGCCAGTTTCCCTGGAATTGGGAGGCAAGTCGCCCCTCATAATTTTCAATGATGCTGATGTTGACAAGGCTGTTGACCTGGCCCTCTTTGGCATCCTTTGCAACAAGGTAAAATTGGTTGTTCAGGACATCTAGCTGCTTCTCAAAAGGAGTTACACTTTCAGTGGCTGATTTTCTTACATTGGAGTTTTCAGGGAGAGGTTTGTGTTGCAGGTTCCCGAGTTTTTGTTCAGGAAGGGATCTACGAGGAATTTGAGAAGAAGGTGGTGGAAAAGGCAAAAGCTTGGGTAGTGGGAGATCCTTTTGATCCTAAAGTTCAGCAAGGACCACAGGTAAGGACAGTTTAAACAAGCATAACTATCTTTAGACTACAGTAATGTGAAGATATCTCAACAAAGTTCTCATCTACTTGTAACACTATTGCAGGTTGACAAGAAGCAATTTGATAAAATTCTTTCATATATTGAGCATGGAAAGAGAGAAGGAGCCACCTTGTTGTCTGGGGGTAAGCGAGTGGGCAATAAGGGATACTATATTGAACCTACAATTTTCACCAATGTCAAGGTGGATTTTAAACCCAAAACTCTTGGAACAGGCTGTCTTTCATATGACAGAAAATTAACCATGGAATTTTCTCTTTCCTTTGTAAAGGACGACATGATAATAGCGCAGGATGAAATATTTGGGCCTGTGATGACACTCTTCAAGTTCGAGTAAGTTCATGATTCTGTGTTTAACTGGGATTTGTGAGGTTGAATGTTGAAATGAAGCATGAAATATGAACAATATAGGAACATTGCCGATGCAATAAGGAGTGCCAACAACACCAGATATGGCCTAGCAGCTGGGATTGTGACGAAGGACTTGGATATAGCAAACACAGTGTCAAGGCACATTCGCGCAGGCATTGTTTGGATCAACTGCTATTTTGCCTTTGATAATGACTTCCCTTATGGAGGGTACAAGATGAGCGGATTTGGAAGGGATTATGGACTCCATGCCCTTCATAAGTATCTTCAAGTCAAATCTGTTGTAACTCCTATTTACAATTCTCCTTGGCTTTGAATTTGTTCCCTCTCAGTGTGATGATCTACTGTATAAGCAATAAGTGAATCTTCTTAGCTTTCTGTTCAAAATTGCGTATTAGTCTATCAATAACTAATGAATTAACTGTTTAGTTTTTGAAAGACGGTCTTGCAATCAATTTCATCTCAATCATTTTTTTACATCAGCAAAACGAAGTAGTCATTTTTACATCAAAATACATCTTTCCATCACATTTGCGGCTTAATTTGTGTTTGGGAAATCTATAATCTTTAAGGCTCTTCAAAGTGATAAATTTGCTAATTTGATTTAAAAACGACAATTTATATATCCATTGAGTTAGAAAATTAAGAAACTAGAAACGAATAGACAAGTTATCTTTTAATAGTGAATTGATCTTAGCAGAATTTATCTTCTTTTTTTTTTTTTAACCAACGCAGAATTTATCATTCTAATGAGGGACATAAAGCACAAAAATTTTCTAGGCTAGAAAAAATACTCTAGAAGGATCAGCAAACCGAACAGATAAAGATGTAGATAATCTGATTCGTCCTGTGAAGAACCTCGATCAAAATTCTGAAAGTAAGTATATAAATCATGAGGGACTAGCAGAAAAGATGATGCAGACTCCAAATAGCTTTTTCTTCTCTTTCTTGAGCTTCATACATAACATCTTCATCCTCAACTTACTTGATTCAATGACTGATAGCAAGTTTCTTATATCCATTGCTGCAGTAGAATCAGAAAGCTTCAAGTTGTTGCCATGAAAACTTGTAGCTTGTTGGTTAGTGTGCTGCACACTCAGCCTACGGATTGCAAGTTCGAATGGCAGACCAAAAGGAAAGCTTCAAGTTGTTGAACATGGAAGGCCAGTGTTGCAAGGTGTTTAAGAAGAGAAAAAATAAACACTTTATGAAACTTTTTTCTTTTTGTTTTTTTTTTTGAAGCAGCTTGAAACGAAAAATTCTGCTCTCATGCTCTGCTCCATGAATGAAAAGTCTCCACTCCATCCCAACTTCATCTTCTCGGCTTCACCAGCCAAGGAAGAGATCATTAACCCACCTGCATCCAAAGAAGAAATCGACTTATTACTCAGAAACAACTCAAAGCCAGATGAGGAAATGATTGACAAAAATTCAGAGGCACAGCAAGAACTAGAAATAAAAATCCAACATGATAAGCCTTCTGAGTCAATGAATCACCATGATCAATCAAGAGTGCTACATAATGGTGATGATTCTGCATCTAATGCAAGTATTAATAGTCGAGCAACGCTCCAATCATCTAAAATCCCCTGTCTCCTACAAAGATTCGCTTCTAGGATACAATGGATGTTTCGGGATCAATAATGGTAGAGAAACAAGCCATCTCCAGAATGAAGCTCTTGCTAAGGAACTGGACCAGAACTGGACACCATCGGAAAGGACAAAAAAGCTAACGGATCAATTCCTTGCTCTCCAAATCACTAATGAGGAGTGAAAAAAAATCTACTTACCATGGATGAACGCGATAGCCCTCAACATTCTGGGTTTACACCTCAATCCTAAATCTCTCAAACCAAAGTTAGCTAAGATGTGACAACTGACAACTAAAAGATTTTGAATTAATAGATCTCGTTAACTGTTATTATATTGTTAGAACCAAGGATTAGTCAACCTGTGATAGAATTCTCATAGGGGGTCCATGGACAATCTTCGATCATTGTATTCTTGTGCAACGCTAGTCAGCTAGCTTCAATCCAAATTCTAGTATCTTAGGAAAAATTGCGTTATGGGTCTGACTAACTAATATTCCAATTCAATGTTATGACAAAGATACTATAGAGATTGGGTAATTGGATAGGGAAAACTCTGAAAGTAGACTCTAATTCCCTATCTGAATCTGACTTTAAGGACTAACAGGGGAAGATAGAAAGGGGAAAATTTGTGAGAATTAGTGTTGAAGTGGATCTGCAAAAAAAATTGGTTCCCAAGCTTCTGATTCGGGATGAAATCTATAATGTGGAATATGAAAGTTTGAACGTGATTTGCTTTGGATGTGGTTGCTATGGACATAACAAAAACAATTGCCCTCACAATCCTTTGAACAAAATCGAAAATAAAGCTAAAGAATGTACAACTAATTTCGATCAACACAGCAACATGAACCAATAGTGCTCGAAGAAGCAGAAGAACAACATTAGAATCATATAGCTTAGGACTCATAGGAAAAAAGCACCATCTTGCCGGAGGAGATATTCGGAGAATGGATGAAGTACAAACATCCGAAAAATGCTTGATTTTCGAGGAACCTAGCAAATAATCAGATTGCACGTCAAAACCGTAATTAAGCTTCACCTCCAGATCAAGATTTGACATTTTGGCCAACCTAGAACACGACTCAGACGGCGAAAAACAGAGGCAAAATCCTTCCAATGTTCCACCCAAAGCCCCATCCATGAAAAATGTTAGAAAGGTATGGATCAAAAAGGATATGCCAGGAACGAAGAGGGCTAGGTCAGATGAGCAAGAAGGAAATGATGAAGAAGGCACAATTGGAGCTTGAAAGGAGGTAAAGAAGTCTGATAAAGCCCTTTTAGCTGTCAATGATGGGCTAAGTTTTAAAGGGGACGACCCAAGCACAATAAATCTGGACAAAAAACCTTCAACCGAATGTCAGACTAATAACACACCTAATAGGCCTTCTAAACGAGTCCATAATGTTGTGAGAGGAAGCAAAAGAGACCTGGGCTCTAGTAAGCCCATAAACGAAAAAAACAAGATGATCAGCTACTCTAAAAAGACTAAGCATGCCGTATTTGAAGCTTTGTTCTCCCTTGATCCTAAAGTCTGGCAACAATCAAATAGAGACAAAGAAATCAATATCCAGCAATATTCTCAATCCAACCCATGTTCTTAACTTGACCACAAGATACCTCCGGACCTTGATCTCAATCTCAGCATTATTCTTGAAACTCAATACAAAGAGGGCGATCTTAAGGATTGAGATAAATTCACAAATCTGAATGACAATCAAAACAACCCTATTCAAATTAATGATGAAAATAATTTCATTGATGATGACTTACTTGATGAAGATTATCAAAATTTTGCCCAAAATGATGATCTGGAAGATGATGAATTTAATGATGACCCAATTGAAGACTCCCTGGAAATCCTAAACAAATAGTCTATATCTTGGTTTATCTTCTCTATTTCTTTTATTATGAATTTAATTTGTTGGAACTATAGAGGTGCTTGTGCTAAAAAAATTTCCTAAACATATAAAAGAAATTACTAAAACTTATCACACTCAAATCCTTATCTTGCTTGAAACTCAAGCCAATGGCTCTAGGGCTCATAAAATAGTCAATAAATCGGGTTTCTCTTATTAGATTCAAATTGAAACAACTGGTTATACTGGCGATATTTGGCTATTATGAAATAATAATATTATTAACATTGATCATATTTATTCTAATATTCAATTGTTGCATTATAGTGTTAACATTTTAGCCAAAAATTACTTGTTGCATCCAAAAATGTGACGCGAACGACATGCGAGAGCAAAGGTTTCAACCTTTAGAAAGAAGAGCAAAGAAATGGGAGTCGCCACCAAAATTTTAAAAAAAATCTTAAGAAACTATTTAAAGGAGAATAAGGAGAATAAGGATGGTCTACAAAAAGAAAAAATAGGTTCAGGAATCGATTGAGTGTGGAAAAAGTATTAGGCACCCCACAACATTTGTCTGTAAGAACGATTACCCGAAGTTTGTTGTGTTAAATTAATATAATTTTAAAGTTATTTTAATTATTTATTTCTTATTCATGTGTTTTAAAAAATGATAATAATAAATTGGAGAATATTTATTTATTTATTTACAAAGGAGAACTTGACTCAGAATCAAACTTTGAGGCCTATATATCTTATGATGGGGATCAAAGTCTATATAATTTGGGATAAGACTAGTGTCAATGGCTTTTTTATTTATAATTTTCATAAAAAGATAAATTTTAAAAAATAACTTATCAATCACAAATGAAACAATTTTATAAAATGTGAGTTGGTATGTTTTAATTTGCAAAGATAATTTAACTTCATTTTCTCACTCTCATTTATAATTTTGAAACTGTTTTCGTTGTTATACTTTTTTTTTATTTTGAAAATTCACTTTGTCAACATAAAAAAGTGTTATTATTATTTTTTTAAAAAAATTTCTAATATGCTTAAGGAGACTTATTGTCACTCATGGACATTCAAATAACCTTAATGCCTTTTAAAATTTCATATTTTCCTTACCATATGAAATCTTAGATTATTTATAAAATATTTTATTTAATATATTTTCTTTTATATATTAAAAATTTATTCAATATGCCCACGGGGACTTTTATCACTCACAGAGTATGATAAAACTCGCAATCCTCATAACAGCAAAATCTTATTAACTCACAAAAAATAATTATCTTAGCAGTTTATAAAGATTTGAAAATTTCATCTGATCAAAAGATTTTAAGGTTACCACGTAAATATATTAATTTAATTAATTAATTTTATTAAAAAACGTTTATATTTTATTTTATTTACAAAAAATTATTTATTTACTATATATAAACTAATAATCACATTATCTGTGGGGATTTATTATCCCATATGATGATGCAATTAATTTAAATTTCTATGAAAATTCCTTGAACTCTCACACGAAAACTTAAATATTTTGTCGATTTAAGTTAAAAAAAAAGGTTAATTTTTATGGAGGATCATTGGAACCCATATCAATATATATAAGTTGAATTTATCTATATGCGAAACCTTATTAATTTACACAATGGAGAATCATTTTGAATGCCTATGCAGATTTCTTAAAATCTCACACGGCCAATAAATTAAAGAGCATGAAGATTAATATTATAATCCAACCATACCCAAAACAGTCAACATGAAATTGACAAGTTTTCATGATTAATAAACAAGCATGATGATAAATCTTCAAATACCATGAGGCTAGAAATTCAATGAATTACATTCTCTGATCACTGAGGGCATAAAATTATATCTAATTTTATAGATAGTTGAACAGTGATCCATGAAAACTTAAAATAAAAAAGTA